TAAATAGGGCTGTACTCGAATTGCATGCAAAAAAAAAAAAATAAATATCCGAATTGCATACCATCTCTTACAGAAGTCTGTCCAAATTACGTGCCGTGTATAATTAATAACAATAATAAAAAAAATAAAGTTGCATATTCCTTCCCACTTTTACAAACTTAGGACTGATAGTAAAAACTTAATTGTTATACTGGTATGGTTAAAAAATTTAAATTTTTAATTTTTATATTGTTGATTATTTTAATATTATTTTACTTTTTTTAACGTTAGATCATAATATATTTACGATATTGTTATCGTAAATATACCTAAATATCTTAATATTTACAATATTATTATCGTAAATATATTATGATATAAGGTCTTATTCACATGATTTAAAATTCAAAATATCAATTTTTAAAATAAAAAATAACTTTGATTCTTCAAGGTTTGGAGAACTACATTTGCTCACATTTTGTAAATTTGGTGTGTATTTTTGTACCATATATTATTATGTTTTATTATGGTTGAGGGGCTCCTAAATCAGGAATGTATAACTAGGATTACATAATTAGGGTGGCCTAATTGTCACCAACATTTTTCTAGGGTAGCCAACATTTACTTCCCCTTCCCACCACTAAAATATACATATATCAAATTTAGGTTCGCTCGTGGGTGCGTCACTGTTGTAGATAGAAAGTTTGAAAGGTAGGATACAGAAGGAAATTTAATATATATTTGTAAGTAACGATAAACCATTGCTAACAAAATAAAAAGCTAGCAATTCTATAGTATGTTCATTAATTTTAAATATCAACAGAATATTATAATTGAAGATTAACATAAAGCGTATAGCTATGACAGATACAATTAGTTCGAAAAACATAACGAGTCATAAAATTGGTATATTAATTTATCATATAATATTGCGGAATTCTATAAAATATCAGAGGGAAAACTTTGTTTATAAAAATACACTTCACCTTAAATATATTCATCCATTTTCAATTTATAAATAATTCAAACATAACAATTATGTTTGCGATAGAGATGTTTACAATACCGTATTTCATTTAAATATTGCGAAAGTTTTACATTTATCGTATTATGAAGCAAATAAAACTTGTATTTTTTTAAAAATTAATTACAGGTCCGAAGTTTTGTTCAAATTACATATTAAAAGGAAATTCAGGGAATTTAGTGTAGTTTAGGATAAATGTTTAAACACAAGAGAAAATGTAAACAATTTAAAAGCAATTTATCCATAACTTCCGCCATACGAGCAATAAATAATATTGCCAATTATTGTATGATTTGCCTATATATTAGCGAATAGTCAGTCCAAAATTATTTTAAAATATTAGTATATTAGTATTCAATATATTTAGTTTTAAATATATTTAAAAATTTGTTAACATAATACATTATAGGTAAATTTGTTTAAAATTTTTTTTAAAAAAACCCAATCAATTGTATACTGTACTAGCGGAGTTGAAAAGAGCGATAACGTGGAATTGTGGGCTATCATCAGATTATTTAAAATCATGTTTAGGTCATAACTCAATTATTTTAATGAGGAATGGCACAACAGATAAACTTATTTTATTGAGGCTCGGCTTCGATAAATGATAAACTATTGCTTACGAAAAAACGATTCTGGATTCAGTTGATAATGATGCTTTGTCAACAATATATGTAATTTTATAGTAAAATAAACAAATAGGCTTTATATATATTCTTTAATAATATTTGTTTAACTTTGTACCGTTTTTCCCGTTTTTCCTCTGTTTTTTTCGGTTTTTCAAATTTGATAGGAAAACTCCGGAAAAAAATAATCGAAAAATGACTTCTCTAAAGTACCTACCCAGTGAAAGTTCCTTTTAGAAAAATTGCTATAATTATAAGTTGAAGCAAAATTGCTGTTAGAAAAGTTGTCTACAGAAAAAAAAATTCTTAATATTATACAAATAAATCTCATACATTTTCCCGTTTTTTTTTTTCGGTTTTTCACATTTAATAAGAAAACTCTTAAGAAAATTACCTTTTTACCTCTCCACGCTGATTTTCTTTCAGGAAAGATGCTACACGTAAAAATTGGAGCTAGTACTCTGGTAAAAATTTGTCCACAAAAAAAAATAAACGTCTTTGTAAAATCATAAGTGTTTTTGCTCCACTCAGAATCTAAAATGCCTAGTGTACGGCAGCTCGGTATTCGCTTGGGTTTTCCTTTGTTTTTCGTCACTTTCAGCACTGTTAAATTAACAAAAACCAAAATACCTTACAAAAATATTATAAAGGCTTTTTAACTTTAAGTATGAGCACTGAGTCAGGTATCTAATATATAGTATATATCTGTGGGACTGACACTTGTTATAAACAATGGTTTTGTTATTATTACATCTTTGGCGGTTGGTGTTATCGTGTACCGTGGGCTGCCCATAGAGTATTTTCACTCTATGGGCCTGCTACACAATTTTAGATGAAATCTATGATTAGTACGATTGTAATCACGGTCTTAGATTATTAGACTATTAGATTATCTATTAGATTGCAATATTGAACTTACTGAACTGATGTTATCAACAATTAATGATGAGGTATTTTATGTTTATTATCAGTCAGAACCGTGAATGCACCTACTGACGTAATTTATTTTTTAAACTTGTGACAAAACAACTGATTAATATCAATTTTAAATCCTCCTCTCCCATTGAAAAATTCTGCGTATGCCACTGCATTAATTCTAACGACACATGGGTAATAATTTAACGATACCTTGTACCTACATAAACCATGTCACGCCAGTAGTATAAAAACGCATAGTCTTGTCTTTTCGCTTTAAAACTAATTTCTGATCTCCACTCACATTGTTTTATTTTCTGTGAGCATTTTCTTTGCTCACATACCTACTTTTATTAATTAATATTTAAAAATCTATTTCTTGAGCTTTATACAAATACTTTAATTTAATAATATTTTAGAAACTATGTTCTCATAAATACACTGCATCAGGAATAGTTGTCTTTAAAAAAATTATTTTTGTATGATTTTACATAAATATTATTATTTATGTTAGAAAAAATATAGATACCTAAAGGATTCGGTTCTATATATTACGCAACGCGCACAACACACTGCATACAAATCGATAACGATTAAATAGGTCATTAACACGTGCGACCACTTATATCTAATAATATTATTTTTTTGTGTTATTAAAATATTAAATTTTTATTATCAATAGATTTATTTCTGTCTTTTGAAATTTAACCGAATTTCTACATGTTGTAACGGGCCAAACGTAAGGATGTAGACTTAGAGGAAAAACGTTGAAATAAATTAAACTCCAACGTGAATTATATAAATAATTAATACTTCCACACAAAAATATTTCAATTCCAATAAATAAAATCCACAAAATATATTATGTCCAATTAATTTAAACAACAAAAATATATAAGTCCAATAATAAAATCTTTACATATAAATACAAGTTCAAATAACAAATAATAGAGAGATGCGAAATTGCTCATATTCGATCATGGTGGACTCCGTCTGATTAGACGATGTTTCGGGCGGATTATATATGCTCAAAGGGCCCTCCGAAAACCGTCGTTCATAGTCACGGCTATCTATATTATTTCGTTTATAACACATATTTTTTTTTATGCCCTGGGAATAATTTAGTTTTATTAAATTGGTCATTGATAATGTGTTTTGTTATAGAAAATTATATGTTTGCCTTACGACTGAAGGCGGTGTCATTTTTATTAAATAATTGTTTGCCTATTAATATTAGTCAATTTATCTATGCGATATTAATCCCGAAAGTTTTGTCGCTCTTATTATCTAATTATTTTCTTAACCCCCGGTTTTAGTCGTATTCTCCTATGGACTGGTCCCCTTTTCGTATAATTCAGCACGCACGCAATTTAACCTGGCATTTATTACCTGGTCCACGCACGTATATCTATTATGGCGCGTGGGCACGTAACAATGTTAACAAAGATTGTATTTTGAAGGTATATGCAAAACTAAAATTCAATTGATCCACAGGAAACTGAAATTCCTTAAAAATCTCTTTAGTAAAATTTGACAACATATTCCGGTAGAGATTTTAAGCATTATAGGGGTGGATGAAATCAGATTTGAGTTATGACAATTTCTTGCTGAAGTATTCATACTCAAAAATTTCCGAAATTGGACTACCTGAAAAAATGACTTTTAGTATGTAATGTTCAAAATTATAAAAACATTTAGTGGCTGTTTTATGATAAATGAATTACTTATAAAAACGTTGAGAAATGAATGCAGAATATTAAGTTTAAACAATTAGTGGATCTCATTGCTTGGGTTACTTGGATAAAACAAGAAAGTTTAAACATTTATTTTGATTTTTATTAAGATGCTAATACTCCAAAAGAGTTATTTAAATATTTAGGAGGAAATAATCTTAAAACTACATGTAGAAGTTTTCAAGATTATGATAATTTTCCTATTTGTATTTAGATTTTATTCAAATTTAAAATTTTTTTTTTAAAATCAGATTTCTGATTAATCTACTGGTAATACATTAAAGGATTTTAAATCTATAATAGTCGAACCTTCAAAGGTAGATTTTTGTAAACATATAAGAACTATTTTTCTTTGATGCAATAATAGTGATTTTAGAGCATTAACTAAAAGTCCTCCCTCCAAATTAACAGCCCTTAATGTCGTATTACTTCATATAAACCTAAATATACTGTTTGAATTAATTGCATTGACACAATCTTGCGTAATTTATAAAAACTAAAACTGAAAATACGAAAACGCATTTCTAAGTTATTCACATACAAATTCCATTTTAAGTGTTTATCAATAGTTAATCCCAAATAACGTATACTTAAGACTCTATATAAAGTTTTAAATTTTATACCATTGTACAAATTATTTTTATTACAAAAGTGCATAGTTAAATCGTCAAATTGTCTTCTTTATTATTTATCATGAAGTTCATAAACAATTTTTTGTTACTTTCAAACGCACTTCATTCTAGGTGTCTCTTGAAAAAGTTGACACATCTCATCAGCATAAGTGAAGATTAGCCCTTTAATATCTAAACTAGAAATACTATCTTTGTACAGGATGAAAAAAATTGAACCTAAAACACTATCTTGCAGAACACCGTAATTTATGAGCATTTCATTCCCAATAATTCCATCAATTTTAATCTTTTGCGTTATGTTATCTAAATAACTCCTAAACCAATCCAAACTTGATGAAACAACGCCAAAATTTGGTAAAGTTTTTAAAAGCTCCGAATGATCTACAATATCAAACGCTTTTGCCAAGTCTAAGAAGATCGTCATAGTCTTTTTACCATTATCTAGAGTAGCAATAATAAAACGCGTTGCGCTATATAAAGAATTTTCTGTATCTGGTCTGAAGCCAAATTCATTTTCAGATAAAAGTTTGATTTATTTTTTAATTTATCAGGAAATGTACGATTTTTTGATACTTAGATTATATATATATATATATGTGTGTCAGAGGATTTATTACATCATTAGCTACATGTTTTAATATTTTAACCGATATTCCATCCCACTCAGCTGCGGTTTTATCTTTTAGGTTTATTAGAGTATCCAGTGTTTTATTTTAGACCTTTTGCCCAGGAGGCATCGTAAATTTCCAAGGGGTTATACCAAAAGTAGAGCCGGATCTAGGAATTTTTATACTTGGGGAAAAAATTAAGAAAGTATGCTCAATGATGACTTTTTTTTACAACTCGTTAATATATGGTTATTTATGTAACACAATATTCTTTTTTGTTTTATTGTCAACAAGATGAGTCATAATCAGCCCGTTAACTCATTTCACATATCATATCGTAGATATAATAGGTAATATAATATTTATTTACGTAATGTTATACATTTTCAGGGGGTGGTATACATTTTTCTGCGGGAGGATAATACAACCCTCCCCTTTCTCGTCGTCTCTTTAAATAAACACTGATTATTCCCATCCCTGAAAGATTAATCGCATACAATTAAACCGAATCTATTTATGCGGCCATATGCATCTGAACGCGGGTATTTCCGTATGGTGTCTACATTTGAACGCAGCGATTAAATTTTGGATTGCGTACGTGTTTGATAAATAAATAGTAAATATTATTATCATAAACTCCGTTTGAACCGCATGGTGTGAAACCAGCAGGTGTGATATTTAATTAATTTCGGAATAATATACAGAAAGTCTATGGCATCAAAATATTAGGCGACGAAAATTATAGTTACGCGGCTTTTCCGTGAGATAGCACAGCTATATTTAATAATTTATTTTTTCTTAAGAGGACACCACATCCGTATTTATTGTCTCCATCTTACAAACGCGCTACATAACAAATTTGTGTTTAGTAGGACAAATGTTTTAATATTAAAACAAATTGACTTATAACCAAATTTAAAGGTAAAAATATTATATTATGTGCCTGGCATTGATGTTTTATCGATGTTTAAATTTTTAAGCAAGATATAATTATTTTTAAATTTGGTAATAGGTCAATTTGCTTTAACATTAAAACTAACGGTACAAAATGTGTCTTAATGAACTCAAATTCATTATGTCTCGCATTTGTAAGACGGACATAGTAGATGTCGGTGTGGTACCCTCTTAAAATAATAATTATTTACCATATCGACGACATGTTTGCCCGTTATATATAATTGGTTATTATTTTTTGTATACAAAAAAATTAACTTTTCCAGTAAAATTTTGTAATAATCGTAGTTAATATTTATTTCAGCATTTTAAATTTTTAATCCATTTATTCTAAAATATTAAAATATGAGCTAATAAAGGAATTGTAGAGTGAAGAAATTAGACAAAAGTTTATATATTTTCCCTAATATTTTGGCGTTCATTTTTTTTTTCTAAACACTGATTATACTGTTAGAGATGCTAAACTTGTATGAAAAATTATGTGGGGGACACGAAATGTGGCCTGTGACTTTGGCTGTACCGTGACCTACACCTCGCTTGCAGACAATGATTCTCAACCTGCGGTGTCCTTCAAGCGTGCAGTAAGACATATTATGTTGTACACAATATTATCAAACAGTTAAGGATCTTTTTGAAACCATCGGCTTTCATGTTGTACATTGTTGCAGGTGCTATATTCCTGTGCATTGTGAGGGGAGCGAGAGATTGTTTTTTTTTTTTTACAAATGATATGTACACGTAAGAACACATTAGACGATTTTATCGCTGGGATAACGTCGGTCACACGCCACATATCGTGTCCCCGACTATAATTCAATTAATAATAAGGGTAGATCCAGCATCTGTTTACGGTCATGGCACTTATCATTATCGCAATTAGAGGGCTAGGTTATAATTTTTTGTTTTATTGGACGATCTATCACAGTTTGACAATAATTATCAGGCAATATTGACAATTATTATAACAATAGTCAACTCAAAAAAAATAAAACAACTATAGGTAGGTATAAATACAAGCAAGCTGTTGAACTGCTCAAGGCTCAATATTAGTATACTTTACTTATATTTTATAATATTATTGTTCTAAAATAAAATGATTGATGATCACCGTGATATGATGTGATATGATCACCATGATTACTAACGATAGCGTTAAACGAAATTCAACTTATTGCTCGATTAACTGCCGATTACCGAAATAATGAAGATTAGATAAGATTTTAACACCATACTGCGTGGGAAAAATATATTTGTTGTTTCGAAATCGCATGGTTATCGTTTATCTAACACAATATAAATTGGTTATAGTAATAACAGCGATGCTGAATTATACTTTTAAAATAACTTTAACTTTAATACTTACCTTTAAGGTAGGGGTTTTATCTCTCTTTAGTCCGTGCCGTGTGGAGAAACGTGTGAAACGTGTCGGTTGGTACTAAGGATTTATACAATATGATTATTATATTATCAATATCATAGACGTCATTTGAAGTAAAATCATGGGGTAGCAAGCATCTTGAATAATATTTTTAATTCAGTTGTGGTCTAATTTATTAGTCGGTGGATCACCAATCAGGACCTAGTCAATTGTTCATTAGAATTAGGTAGAAAATATTAAACTAATTTATAAATATAAGTAATCAGTTAACTGATCTTTATAAATGTTCAAATTCCATATAGCCGATAATATAATTATTACATTTAAAAAGATCATATTATGAGAACAATTAAGAAATTTGTACTTTTTCAAAAATTACTCATAGGACAACGTAGCTATTAATGTGCAATTTCGATAAAACTGGTAGGGTAGTAGTTGCTACCCCTCGTTACCACTTAATGAAACCTAGGATTAATATGTTTCTGAGTTATTTTGCTTTAAATACTAAGGATACTAGCCTTTTATAGGTATCCTTGTTTCTTTTTCAATGATAAAAAAAAAACTAGTGACTTTTATATTAATTTGAGTTACTTATTTTCACCAATTAAATACCCTGTACACCTCGTGGCTGACAATATGTTTACAATGAAATGACTTTAAATTTGCCCATGTGTATAAATCTAAAAACGCCATAATGCGGTGGAGTGTTATAAATAAAAAAAATTTTAGCTAAATTATTTACAAAAAATAATTATATTTTGGTGAGAAAACCATACAGCAGACTGTATATTTCAGTTGACAGATGTGTTATTGACCGACAAATTATTAAATATAAATCTAGTTAATACGTTGGAATACACACTATAGTGTGTTTCACCTCTAACGCTCCTTTTGGTATTTTTTCATTATGATTTCCAAAACTAGTGCGTTTAATGCACGGTAAAATTCCTATAGGAATGTTTTTTATATACATAATAAAAATACATCTACTCACACAAAACAGTGGTACATAAAATAAACATACCTAGTTGATCTTACTATTTATTTGAAAAAACGCACGAATTTTATTTTCTATCCTAAATTGAAGACTCCTGATTTGAAACAAATCTGCCACGAAGTGCGGCAGTGTCGAGTCTTAATTTTTGTGAAATGCACTATAGCTATGTAGATAATTATATTGTACTATTGTACTGTAAGTATAATATTATATTTGACATATAGATGGACTAAACAAGGCACAGATTATTTTCTTTATTATTCTGTGGTTCAATGTGAGACACTTAAATCGTATCATCATGAATTTAGGTTCAGGGGTTCTCAAAAAATATCTAAAATAATTTATTGTTTTTTTTATATTCTTGGCGGAAAACGGGGGATAGCTTTTTTCCGTCAAAAACAGAAAATAGTACAATTCTCGTTTCTACCAAATATTGTTTAGGAACCATTTACCTAAAGAAATACCTTACAGTAATAATAATATAATACGTTATATTCAGTAAGTTAATAATATAGCAGTCAAATTATCTTTTAAATAAGACGGATATACTTCACACAATGAGTGCATCGTCATTTTAATTAGTGAGAGATTGGGAAGGTAAGATATAGAGGGGAAACTTATCTAGACAGATTAAGTAAGACAGTCTGTAAGCAATGATAAACCATTGTTTACTAAAAGTGATTCTGAGCGGAGTTCAGTTGATAGTGATGCTTTGTCAAAAATATATATGTCATATTATGGTAAAATAATTATACATAATTAAATATATTTTCTTTTTATAACTATATTTGTTTAATGTACCGATTTTTCTGTTTTTTCTACGTTTTTCCCCGTTTTTCACATTTCCTGTGATAACTCTTGGGAAAATCGAAAAATATCTCTCTGAAGTACCTTCTCAGTCAGATTTTCTTTCGAAAAAGGGGTTCTAATTGTAAATTGGAGTAAAATTTACTGATAGAAAACTTGTCCTCAGGAAAAAAAAGCCGTAATATTTTACTATACATTCGTACATTTTCCCGTTTTTTCGGTTTTTCAAATATATTTGGAAAACTCATAAGAAAATCATAAAATGACCTCCTCATAGTATCACCCCAAGAAAATTTTATTTCAGAAATAGTCTACATCGTTAACACCGGAGTAAGCTTTCTGGTAGAAAAAGGGTTCGCATAAAAAAAAAAAAACAAACATCTTTGTTAAGCCAATACATTCTCGCTATACTTTGCAGAATCTAAAATCATATAATATCCAATATATTTAAATATTTCAAAAGGTCATAGTTACATAATAATATAAGTCGTTATGTCAATAATTAGAACTAACACAGTGAAAAAGTTTTAATAATTACGTCATAATTAAATGAAACCGTTTTAACAAATTTTTACCTAATAATTTATTAATTTCAGATTCTGAGTGGAATTTTATGGTTTTATAAATATGTTTTAGATTCTAAATGGAGTGAAGAAGCTTATGGTTTTACAAAGATGTTT